TACTAGCACGAGGATAAAGAAATTATAGAAACTTACTCACTAAATGGGAAAAAATTATATTATATATATTTAACTAAATATACATATAACATAAATGCTATTTATTTGAAGCAAGTTAAAAGAAACGATGGCAGAATGTCTGTTTGTGTATGATTTCATTTGTCGCGGCTACCAAACTTTGCGGCCAAATTATCAGTGAAACAAAACAAACAGAACGGATAATATTTTTAATATTTGGCTGCATTTCTTTATTCATTCTGAACGTTTGGAATAAACTTTTTTGTTTAAAGAAACGCAGCCTTTTTATTGAGCTTTGTACCACGATTGTTTATTAGGAAAAATTTAAAAAGCAACAAAGTCTAAGCGGTAGAAGTTATAGCAGGTATTTCGGAGATCACCACATCTCTTCATCAGACTTCTTTTTTCTAGACTTCAGCAGGGATCGAACCTGCGTAATCGATGTTCAAATTCAGAAGCGTTAACCACTGAGCTATGTACATCCCGTAAACTCTTGTTGCTAATTAATTTTCCTTATTCAACCAACTACTATGAAGTGCAGCTGATTTTCCGCTATTTAAACTCGACAGCGTGGTTGTTGTTGTCAATTCTATACCAGAGACTGGCAAACGAAGCTAATTTTGTGACTATAAACCTGCTCACATTAAAAACGGGGGAAGAACGCACACCACCGCATAGCGTACAGTGCTTGCAAATACAGCCACCACAATTGAACGATAGTTATAGCAGCTCACACTGATATTGACTTCGGCAAAACAGTATTCCGAGTGAAAGTGCAGGAAACCAGCAACCGCCGTATTTGATCGACTGCCGAAAGCATGAGAGCTCATTAGGACGGTTTGCGAAGGCAAGACGCCGCAGTTCGTTTGTTGCAGAAGTCGTTTGACTTGTTGCTGAAAGCCATTTCATTTGTTGCTGAAGGCATGTTTGATGGGTTGCCGAAGTCATGATACTGTATTTCAAAAACAATTCAACGACATTTGCTTGTTTGAAATGAAGCATTGATATGTACATACGTCCATACATACGTACGTATACACATTCCTCACAACTAGCCTGCCAACACGTTCTTGGCGCCAGCAGAGAGTAAAGCAATTGCAAGGTAGACGCGCTATAAATACATACATACATACGAGACGATAAATTTCCCTTTACAACAGAGGTGGGCAGCTTCGACAGAGAATTTTTGTAGTGTGCGAGAAAGAGAAGAAGAGAAACCGCAGCAGGCCTAGCGAACGCCAACGCTGTTAGTAATTCATCGGATACTTCAGAATTCCTTCTCTATTATCAAAATGCAGGTGGTATAAGAACAAAAATACTGCCATTGTTGTTTTTTTCATCCTTGGCTCTCTATGATATCATAGTCTTAACAGACACTTGGCTTTCTGAATGCCATCATACTGCAGAAATGTTCGATTGCCAAGTGTATAACGTATATTGCAAAGACAGATGTCCCCGCACAACTGGTCTCTCTAAAGGCGGCGGTGTACTTGTTGCCGTTCGTTCGAGTCTACCCAGTAGGCAAATAACCCTGTCCTCTGAAATGAGTTCAGACCAGAGCCATTTCGATATTGATAAAATTATTGTGAAAAGCGTTATAGATAAATTGCAAGAATTATTCACTGCAGTAAGTTACATACCTCCATTAAGTCCAATTGAATTGTATAAAATACATACAAGTAATTGTTGCTCGATATTGAATAGTCTAAATGATAATCAAAACATTATAATATTGGGTGACTTCAATTTGCCAAATGTTAAATGGTGGTTTGATGATGATGTTAAGCAATTTTTGCCATATGATGTAACAAGCGAGAGTGAATGTGAGGTACTCGACACCTTTGCCGAGTTTAACGTCTCTCAAATTAATGGAGTTCATAATGACAAAAATCGTATTCTTGATTTAGTGTTTACTAATAATGATTTTAAATCTGATGTCGAATCCCTCTCTTCAACCCTCTCTTTCTTCTTCTCTTTGTGCAACACTCTACGTCATTCCTCGACCATTCTGCCTATTTCTCGTCGTTCGCTTCGGGTTGCCGCAGTATTCTCCACACTGCCCTCCACCTAAGTCTGATCGTCCCGATCATACACACTTGCTGTGCCAAACGATGCAAGCCTTTCCAAGTGGAGCACCTTCATCTTGTTTCTTGGTCTCCCAACGGTCTGGAATCGATACACTACGCCATTCAGCCGTTTGACGACCTTATACGAACCTTCCCAGTTGCATTGTAATTTTGGGGACAAACCTTTCTTCCGTTGTGGATTGTACAGCAACACTAACTCTCCCTCTTGGAAACCCTCGGAGTTCATTGCCTTGTCATACCTGGCCTTCATCTTCTCACTCATAATTTGAGTTCGCTGTCTCACAAGAGCATGTATCTCTCTCAGCTCCTCTTCCAGGACGTTGGACGTATCTTTCCCAATCCTCCTCGCATCGCAATGTTACTCCAAACTTCAGGTCACTAGGCAAACGGAGCTCACTGCCGAAGATTACCCTTGCAGGAGTTTTACCCGTTGTTTCATGCACGGCTGACCGGTCCACGACCTTCCGCAAATGCTCTTCAGTGAAAATTCTATTGCTTTATTCAGAGTGCGTTCCTCAAATAATTTCAACATTAAAAATGAAATTTGACCGGCCTGAACTTATTATAAACGTTTTGCTTGACCAAATGCGTAACATGCCGCCCCAAACGACGGATAATTTGGAGAGCTTAGTAAACTTTGCGCTTGAAGTGCAAAATGTTTGCGCATCTATGAAGGCTTCTGGGCTACAGGCACATCTCAATAACCCAGAACTGGAACAGAAATTAGTATCTAAGCTGCCCGCCATATTTCAAGCGTTCTGGGGAATGCACAAATTGTCACTGACCGAAAGCAATCTGGAAAATTTCAGTAAATGGTTGTTCCAGCTGGCCCAAGGTGCCAACAGCGTTATTAAACCCAATTCGCAGAAGGAACGTAAGCGTGGTGAGTTACATATTCATTCCGAGGGAAAGAAGGACCACAAATTGGTAAGCGGTATCGTTTGCAAATCTAGTTCACATACGATATTTCATTGCGATTCC